GGAGAACATTCCCCGTCGAAATAAAACTTAAATCTTCAAATTCAGTCTTCCTTTACGCGTGATTTTCGTGTGCGGGCAATTAAATTTCTGACGGGAAAATTACTCATTGAATCGTCGGGTTATTTTCAAAAAACACCGCTACTCGGAAATAGTTTATTTCTTTTTATGCAAAATTTACGATGATGTTCGGGATTAAGCAAACAAGGTAGGTGTGAAGAAACAACCTTTCATGCAGTTAACCCAATTCAAGTTTTGTGCCAAAACGCTTGATCGTACCGGCTCGCCTAGTGCGTTCCGGCCTGGTTTTAACCACAAATTCACCACAGGAACCGACTATTATTTCTTGTCGAAGTCACGGTGCGTAGAGCAAGATGCAAAGTAACAAAAAACTGTATGACCAGATATCCTCGAACTCGATGCTCATATTATTTCGATAAGAAAATATGCAAATTGCAGCCTTAGAGGAACAAAATTTACTTAATCATGCGTTTTCGCATATGCGTAAGTTGCAAAAACGCATATTGGGAAGAAGCTCTGTGTGTGTGTGTCTGTACGTTCGCACTTTTTGTCACCCACTTTCAATTCGAGAACCAGAAAAGCTAGAAGGCTGAAACTTTGGGGCTATGTGCCCACACCATGCGCAATCCTACCGTTTAATTTTCATCCCTCGCGGACGCCTGGGTGCCGCATACGGACGCTTTAAAAAAATATGCAAATTTTTTGGCGTGAAAGCGACCTCGGGAACCACACGAGCTAAGGGATTAAAACTTTGTAGCATTATTCCACGTGCATACACTAGCTAAAGATTTCAACTCAGCCCCCAGGTAAGCGTGGCACTCACGTAAGGCCGCATGGAAGTTTCTGCACGAAAATTACTAACTCGGAAACCAGAAGAGCTGAAAGGCTGAAATTTTAGGGGGATGTTCCTCGCCCACATGCAGTTTGTAAATTTCAAATTCAGCTTCCAAGCGCATGGAGTACCCACATACGGGAACGTGGATCTTTTGGCGGGAAAATTGCGAACTCGGTAACCAGGAAAGCTGGAAAGCTGAAATTTCGGTGAAATGTTCCCCATCCGAATACAACTTGAGTATTTCAAATTCAGCCTTAAGATATGCGTGGTTCTTACGTACGGACACTTAAAACTCTTGGCGAAAAAATTTCTCACTGAACAACTAAGCTACTTTTAAAGAACGACTGTTAATTGGAAATTGTACATTTACTTTGCAAAATCTGATTTATGCTAGTGACCGCAAAAGGTAGGTGTAAAGCAACAGCCATTCATGCAGTTATTGACCTGAGTACTTCAAACCCGGTGCAAAAACGCATGATCGCACGGCCCCACCCAGTGTGATCCAGCCTGGGTTTTTTCATTCAAAACGAGCATATGCCGAAAAAACGACCGAGCTTCAATGTAAAAAACTGGTGATCATGTACCTCGTAGTCCATGCGGCTCTATAATGCAAGACCTTCATCCCAACCGACATCCTTTCTCCCGCATGCCGAAAGAGGTCAAAGCATCGTGCATTTAGAAATACACCAGTAGCATATCGCAGGCTGTTCCTACTGTGCCAGATGCACGTAATAGTTGTAGGCACCAGAAGTGGAGAAAAGCCAGAAAAGCTAAAGTTTTAGGAGAACTTATGGCCATCGCTGTCATGCTACAACCGCAGCAAGGATTCGCCCGAACAGCGATACTCAATGTCCGAGAGAGACTTCCCCCTCACCTCTTCGACTGTTGCCTAGGCCATGTAAAAGAGAGGGAAGGGATGGTGGCAACCTTCCCCCTCCCTCCCCTCCCCCCGTCCTTTCCGCCCCCGCTCTCACGACTTGCACCATTCTTTACCCCACCATGTCCAGCAACACTCTTCACGACGAAGGCCCTGTTCAAGCCGAACAAACGAATCCAACGGCACAAACGTGCACAGCAAGCGTAAATGTGACCACGTGGAGAAACACAATGGTCGACCGAGCACTGCTCTACAGTACGCCGCCATGCATGCATGCATCATCAACCATCAATTGCTGCATGCATGCTCTGCATATGAGTCAGAATATTCCCCGGCATTTTGAATGGCGAGAATTTATCGCAAGTACAAATGCATTTATGCATTAAGCTTATAACCTCTTACGCGCAGCTGACTTTTTTTTAAAAATTAGTCTAAACTAAGAATTTGGGCTCTGCTGTACGTAGCGCTGTCCAGAGTTAAGTCACTTTCCGAGCTGTACATAATTGACACGTTCACTACGCCTCGCCAGCTGCATCCAAATGATCCACTGCGAGTTGAACTGAGACGACAAGAGCACTGCTTACTTCAGCCCCACTTCAAATTTCTCCAAATAGAACACTCCGCTGTCTAGACTGCATATCAAAATATGCAGAACTTTGCAAAGCACCGCTGCCAAATAGCACCGCAGCACTAAAAATCCGCATGAAACTGTGCAAAACCGCATGATCGCTCCGGCTCGCCTAGTGCGTTCCAGCCTGGGTTAAATGAGTTGAAAAAAATTTCCTGGAAATGATATGAAAATTGCTGTGATAATGCCAATGATTAGCAACAGTGTTACTGATGACAATAATATTTATGTATTTATGTATGTATCAATAGAAGCAGCAATAATGAAAAGAGTAGTCATTGTTTTATTGACTTATAGAACAAAATGGCCGGTCGTAGCAGCAATTAGCAGAATGCAGCCAACCTCAACTACGAATTTCAAACGAGCATCCACGGAGAGTGTTCATTCCGCTAGTGATGACGGAATACCGTGGCATGGGGGTATCGATGGAGCAAAATACGAATCACTGAATGGTGGCACAACAGCCTTTGACATGGTGAGTATTAGCAGCGAAATCAGCACTTTCGTCTTGTCCCGGTAGGCGAGTGGGAATAAAAGCTGTGAGACTGTTCTGAAATTTAGCAAAACTAGTGATTAGGCTAGGAGTTTAAAGGGTTCGACTCAAAGATCATAATTTTTGCTTGAAAAATTCGATCTAACACTCGATCGTGGTGCTGGGCTGCAGTAACGCGAGTTGCGCTTGAAGGTCAGTACCATTGGCTAGATGGAAGAAGGCGTACTATTCTGCCGTCAACTTAGCTTGAGGAAACAGTTGTACAACAAAACTCATTAAAGCATTCGCAGTCGCATTTGTAGCTAACAAAAAGTACACTCAGTACAATCCAATGAATTCATGCATCTAACTTTCTCTGATGAAGAGCCTAAAGGACTGTGGTACTATTTTCAACTTGCACCACTCAGTTTGAAGCAATCTTGTGAAGTTCAAATGCACAACGCTATGATGAATAGATGACGCAAGGAATCAAATACATAACGAAGGGAATTTTTGAATCTTAGGTTAGGAAGATCCGACAGATTAGTTTTTATGCGTTTTTTGCAGCTATGCAATGCAGAAAACGCATATTGCGGAGAGGATGTCTGTTTGTGTGCGTGTGTGTGTCTGTGTGTTCTGTGTCGATTTTTCATCTCGAGACCGGCAGAAGCTACAGGGCTGAAACTTTAGGGAAATCTACATACACGTACGGGTCCCCATCCCTGAAATGGGCGGCCTTACCCACGTAAGAGCCCACCAAAATTTTTTTCGGGTAAGTTGATAACCCGCGAACCAGAAAAGCTGAAAGGCTGAAATTTTAAAGGGATGTTCCCCGTCCCTTTAAAATTAATGAGCTCAAACCCAGCCCCCGGGTAAGTGTGGTACCCGCGTACGGGCCCGCCAAAATTTTTCTCGAGTAAGTTCATAACTCGGGGATCTGAGAAGCTAGAAAGCTGAAATCTTAGGGTGATGTTCTCCGTCCAAGTGGGTATTAGTGAGCTCAAACCCAGCCCCTAATAAGAGTGGTATCCGCATGTGGGACCGCCAAAATTTTTTCGGTAATTTGGTAACTCAAGTACCTGAGAAGCTGAAGGGCTGTAATTTTAAGAGGATATGTCCCGTCCGCCTAAGTTTCATTCAGCTCAAACCCAACTCTCGGGTATGCGTGGCAAACACGCACGGGCCCGTAAAAGTTTTTTTTTCCAGTAAGTTGCTAACTCAGGAGCCAGGGAAGCTAGAAAGCTGAAATTTTAAGGGGTGTTTCCTGACAGTTCTGGCGGCTAGTCTTAATTTGTTTAGCTAGAAGCATTTGCCGAAAAAGCCGGTGCCGATAGCAACAAAAACTGCGAGGAACTATGCAAAAAACGCATCTTTGCGCGGGCAGCCCGTGCGTTGGCCAATTATTTTCTGTATGAAAAACTTCGCGAATTTTGAGAATTAAAAATACTGAAACGAAAAACAGCGTTGATTAATTTTGAGCGCTAGCGATTTCACAGAAACTCTTTTTGAGCTTAAAATTTTGTCCGTTTTCACATCGTTTTTGATGATTTTTGCTTTTTTGTTGCAGAACGCATCAGATCTGTTTGCCAGGCCACGCTCAGATGAATGCAATCGCTCAATGCTGAATGGTTAGAATTTACAATTTTTTTATTCTGCTGTCCAGTCGTTTGCGAAGTTAACCCAAAACGTTTTATAGCTCCTGATTTTCAAGTTAAAAATTAGTGTTAATATTTACGCAGAAGAAAAAAATACAACTGGAGACAAACACTGATTACTTTTTAGCTTCCATATAAAAAATGCGCAACTGTACACCCAAATTTCTTTTCCTGATCCTGAATCATGTGATTTTTTGAAAATAGGACTTAGGCCTGCACAATATTTTATGATTAGCCCACTGAAATTTCTTGTACTAGGCGAATTAGCCAGAAATCAGATTATCAGTTGGTAAATTGCTAAAGAAGCGTTGTTCTCAGAAAAAACCCTTGCTATCACTGTGCCCGATGTATGGAAGTGTTGTATGGAGTGGTAGCAAAATCCTTTCTAACAATAGAGTTTCTTTTCTAAAATTCTTCGTGTAGGCGAGCATACTGTTAAAACTACCTTTTTACCTTTTAATTATTTCATTTTTGTTATTATCCG